TTTATCTCCGTGGGTTTTATTTATGGAATTGCATCAAGAATTTTAACTGTTGAGGCTAGTTAAATATTGTTGTAAGATTTGTTAATTCCTTTTTGAGATTGAGAGATTGTTTCATGAGGGATTATTGGGCTAAATATTGTGTGAGTTATCAGGTGTAATTAGGGGTTGGCAAACACTGAGAGTATTTAGTGACTCGAATATGGTTGTAATCACCGCTGTATTATAAGATTAAAAGGGACTCCAAAGTAAAGATTGAGAAGTTTAAAGTCAGACTGGTAGCCAAGGGTTTCACTAGAGAGATGGAGTAGACTATGAAACAACTTTTTCTCCAGTCTCTTCTAAAGATTCTTTCAGAGTAATCATAGCATTAGTAGCTCATTTCGATATAGAGTTATACCAGATGGATATTAAAACTGCCTTTCTCAAGAGAGACCTTAATGAAGAAGTCTATATGCTCCCCCCGTGGACGTAGGTCATCTCGATCTGAGTGTTTGTGTTGAGGAATAAGTTTGATGCTATTGTTAGGATTAAGCAGTTCAGAGCTTTGATCGAAAAGGAGACTTGTTAAACAATCAAGAAGTTGTGAATTGACGGGAGTATGGAGTTTTGTTTAGAGCTATTAAACGACTTCTGCATGAAGGAAGGGATAGTGAGACACCGTACTAGTGCCAGTGAACCACAACAGGTTGCAGAGTTGATGAGCAAAATGTTACTAGAAATGGCCCATAAAATGCTCTCTAGTGTTGGTATGGTTAGGAGATTCTTGGCAAATGCGCTTAGTTCGACAAGCTACTAGATGAATAAATCCCCATCGACTGCAATTAGATGTTAGATTCCCAAAGAAGTGTGGTCATGTAACTTTGCTGATTATTCAGTTCTTAGAATATTTGGTTGCCTATGTTATGTTCGAGTGAGCGATGGTAAGTTCGATGGGAGGGCAAGAAAGTGCATGTTTGAGTTTAAGCACAAGGTGAGCGGGGTTATCGGTTGTGGTGCCCAGAATTAAATTCACCTATTATCAGCAAAGAAGTTACATTTGACGAGTTTTCAATACTTCTTCGTAGGAGTGTTTCTGGCGGTGTTTATACGGATCTAGATGATGTTAAGCTTGAAGTGAAGTTGCAACTAGAAACTCCTGAGGTATTGGGTACTAGCGGAGTAATCGACATAAATAATGCTTGTAGGAGGTGGAGCCTGAAGAGCCAATAGTTATTCTAAATGCTGAGTTTAACAAGATGCGTTGACAGATATGTTTGCAACAGTGGTTTTACTTTATATATGGTAAAGAAGGTTGTGTCGAAAAATCCTTTTAGAGTAGTTAAATGTGCAAGTGGAGTTTATGTTTTGATGAGGTCCACGGTTATGGCGACGTTCAAGTGAGACTTGGGCTTAGAAGATATCTGTAGCCATTGAGCCCATTTGGGACTGTGCGAGAGCCAGCGAAGTGATTGTGACTTGGCTCAAACATCATATCAAGGTGGATATTATTATAATATGTCTTAAGCTTGAGCCTATTGAGCGAACTCGACCTGAATTAAATTGTGTATAAGGACAAAAGTCAAAAGCTAAAATCTTGCAGTTCCAAAAATTGATTCCGTGTTGCAGTCGACTGTGATTTCTACACGGTGGAGTCCAAAGATGTGTTGGATTTTGACCTTGAAAGAGGACCATAAAGGGAAAGTCTACTGTCAAAGAAAAAGAAGAATTAAAAGATATGAAAATCTTTTAATTCTTACTGGATTGGGTCATATGGGCAGAGTGCATATATATTGAACTATGCAGTTGTGGGTTGTTCTTTTTCTGGACACAAAGATGTTGAAGCGCCGTTTCATCGAGTGCTTGGCAGGGGTTTTATCTCCGTGGGTTTTATTCGTGAAATTACACAAAAAATTCAAGTGTTGAAGCTAGTTAAATCTTGTGGTAAGATTTGTTAATTCATTAGCGAGATTGGGATATTATTTCTTGAGGAATTATTGATCTAAATATTGTATAAGTTTTTTTGGTGTAATTAGGGGCTGGGAAATACTGAGAGTATTTGAGTGACTTAAGTTTGATTGTAATCTCCGTTGTATCGTTTAATCTATAGTGAAATTTTTTGCTGCTCTCCTCATAAACATAGGTCACATCGACTGAACCAAGTAAATCTAGGGTCCGATTTATTTTTTTTATTTTGTCTATTTTATTATTAAATCGCTTGCTTCCACAACAAATAGCCATAAGGGGACCGAGCTCAGCCGACACTTTGATTTTTGCTTTCCCGTTTTGGCAGCTTAAACAGTGTGAGTATCCGCAGATTTGAGCATGCGGCCTTAGATTTGAGGTCATGGAGCTCTTGTATGACCTTAAAAGGTGATGGTGGCGATGATCTCCATTGGAGGTCGACTAGAGTGAGCAAGAGTCGAAGGTGGTGGTGGAGAGCGGAAGGTGACAGAGTTGAGCTGGGGCGGCGATGAAGTAATGATGGTGGGTTTTGGTAGAGGCTAAAAATTGCGTCAATGACCAAAGAGAGAAAGGACTCATGAGTTAGGCGCGGTTAGTGGCGATGATGGAACCTGGTGTAGGGCCGTGGTGGTGGCGCTAAGCACGAGTGTGTCGACGGTGGCATCCATCTTGAGCAGTAGTGGAGATGGTGTACTTAATTGCTCGATCTAAAAGTATCATAACTCAATTACAATTTTAAGTATAAGTTTTTAGAATTTTGTTGCACTTACCTCTTTCCTGTTTTCAATTATCTCTTTGATGTGGTTATGTGTACATTAGGTGTTTCAGATGTAAGACTTGACTTACATGCAATAAAATTGCTAGTACGTACGTACGTACATGCATACATTAGACCATATTGTAAATACTTGATGTGAGTACTATTAGCACACACCTCAAAGTGCTTGTGTAATTACTTGCTGGGAAAATTGTTAAAAAAGTCATAAACTTATTGCCGTTGACCCTTGTGCCAATTCAATATGAGAGCACGTCGACACAATTCTCTCGGATGACAAACACACCTAAATTGTTTGATTTGTCTAACAAATGTTAGTTCTAGTAACTTTCTCCTACAAAAATTGATTTATTCATCACATTTCATATAAATAACACAGAGGACGCATTTTACAATGTTTTAGGTGAATGTACCATTCCAAATGCACTATTTTATAGATCATTTAATTATTTATTTGTAGTTATCAAGCATTTTTCACTTCCATTAACAAGATAGTCTTCATATTCTTCGGCCTCCTGATGTGAGCCGGTGACTACAGCTTCTTTTGAACCCAAGCAACGTTCTTGAAAATCTTGGGCCAGCAAGAAAACAAGACGGGATTGACGAATAAAGAACTTGCTCGAAATGGGCTCCTGGTGAAGCCCGTGGCAACAGAGATTCGTTAAAAAAAACATGTTGACATGGTCACATAGCACGTACCTAAATCATAATCCCAGAAGATAATAGTTCAGGTAAAGCAATAATTAACTATTTGATATTGTAAGTTGTAACTTATGTCGCTTGTGCGATTGGACCATCAAAAGTTTAAGCCAGGTAGAGCACGACCCCCCCACACACACATATACATATAAAGTTTAATAAAAAAATCCAGTAGTCAAGCGATGTGAGATATATATATATATAGGTTATGGTTAGGTGGCGTCCGAGCCAACTTTTGTATACTTCGATTAGTCTACTTTCTCTAACGATTTTAAGGACACATTCTCGCACATTGGTCTGGTGCGTTCTGAGTTTTATTCTGGAGATTGATCAATGTAGATGGCCGCAAAACCTACCCCATATAGAAGATATGCCCGACTGACCAGATTGAAGGTTTTACACGTGATTGCCAAGGAATTTCCAAGAGAATTTTTTACCAGGAGACGGACGTCTAGCTGAACGTTTGAATTTGGAGGCATACAAGAAGACCAAATGATGAGCAGCACAGTGTCTGTCGACAAGTGCTTGAAACCAAGAAACCGAAGCAATTTTATAGAGTTCTTAACTCTATCTCTATAATGCTGCTTCATAGTAGATTAAGAACTTATGCAAAGACTTAGCACGAGTATCAAACATTTTAAATACACGAGAGAAGTGATTGTACTTAGAAAGTGTGAGAAGGGCTCTTTATAAGCACTTGGGAGGTGTACTTTATAATTTGAGGAATGTGTCTATTGTGTCATGCGTACAAGGTGTAAGAACAACGATTAGAGGGTTAAAATAATTTTGTTCTCTATAACGGGGTAGTTTAAGAAGATGTAGATCCTTGCGCGCAGGAGTTTTTGTACTCAAAACGTAGCGGCAATTGCATTCTGAACTAAATTAGTGGATCTCGGCTTATTCGGGCCATTAGAGTTGGAAGAGAGGAGTAGGCATATATAAATCGAACCTTCATAAATCTCGTTTGCATTCTCTCTTTCCCTAAAGTCTTTATCGCTGCCGCCATTTATGTTGTTAGTCACTTGAGTGTAGAAGCAAAATTTCTTTGAAAAAAAGATCGGTTATAGATAAATAAGTTTGAGTTTACTCGAAAAACCAACTCACCCTCTTAGATTGTTTATTTGGACCTACGAAATTTAACTCGGAATTGCTCAATAACTCACCAAGAATTTGGCCAACCGTTATGGCAGGTTCAGACAAATAAACATTTGCTTGTGGGACAAGACATCAGCATCCATGTGGTGTAAGCATTACATGAAAGACTTTCTTCACTAACAGGGTCGATGATTTGACCCTTTAATTTGGCTGCCTCTAATTTCGTGTCGAATCCACCTCGTAAAGGCTTACAATTCTTTCTAAGCTCCAATGAAATGCTGTTCTATAAGTCGTACTTGTTTATCCTTCCATGTCATAAAATGCACTCCCCGTGGTCATTTGATTGGCATGATGACAATTCACGATAACAGCACGTTTTCGTGCAGAAACGTATCGCAACTGGTAAAGGAAGGAATTAATCGTCGATTTTATTATCATAACATTTTTTTTTCACTTTTTTAATTGAAAGAATAAAAAATAAGGCTTTTTTACAGTGAATATTCAACCGAGATGCCAAAAACATCTTTTTGTCTGAAAAAATTTCTTGCAACCCAACAATACATGTCCAAATAAAATCTTCTTCATCAATTCAACAAAAAATGAAAAAATCACTTGGATTTGGATCCACCAGAAGGCTTTGTCCCACCCTTTCCTCCTTGCCCACCACCTTGACCGCCGCCGCCAGCTGGAGGTGGATCATCGTCATCTAAATCCACCGTCCTCACTTTGAACCTCTCAAGCTTCAAGGGCAAATCACCGCCTCCAATATCTCTGGAAGTTGTTCTCGGCGATCCGACGCTCAGACTCCGCCTCAATCTATCTCCCGGTCTTTCCTTCTCCTCTCGAAACAAAAAATCCTCGAGCCTCTCCGAGAACTCGGCGAACTCGTCGTGAAGCTTTGGAAACAGCTTCTTGAACAAGTCCCTCCTCCGAACGTATAGTTCTCTGAAAAACTCCAACACAACTAGCAACTGCGGATCGACGGATTTTCCGGCCTTTGGTCGATACTTGAAATTGTCATATCCACCACCCTTATTGTTGATGCATTTCCTTCCATGAAGGCCGCTCTCGAGGAGGGAGGAATCATCGAACGTGCGAGGAAACGACGAATCTCCAGTGCTTGACGATTCAGCCTCGTCGATGATCTGTGCGTCATTGGGCTTCATCTGCCACGGCATGCGGTGGCGATCCATCGACATGGTGATATATGTGATGAAGGAGGAAAGTATATAAGAAGCTAAATGGAGGGTGTTGGTATAGGATGTGAATAGAAAGTTTATGTCTTTAGGTTGAGTTAGGGATGGGTTGGCTTGGCTTTTATATATATGGTATGTATTTTTAAAATGTTTGGTGGCTTGGGGAATAATTAAGGATCAAAGTATAAGATAGTGAAGGCACGACTTGGTCATTTATTCAACTAAGCTACGCGTTGCTGAGTCGCACGTTTATTTTGTTCTCGTTTCCATAATGCCAACTAGGAAAGGTGAGGGTTGACCAACTTCAAAAGATGCTAATGCACCAAAGCCAATCATGAGACCAATTTGGTTCGAAAGATTTAGAGAAACGTAGCTGTAAGGCAGGCGTTGGAAGAATCGAGGAAATCACATAGGAATCAACAAGAAGAAATCATTCCAAAATCCATTTCTTCATTACTTTCTCATTTAACAGGATAAAAGTTCATAAATATTTGCATACTCAAACCTGTGTCGACATTTACAGTATCCATTTGCTTTAAAAACGTAAAAATTTGAGTCACGATAAGAAAGAATAAGATCCTCTAAATTCATAGGGTAAATTTATCCCTGAGAAGTTGACACCTCATCACAAGTACAATGGATGGTCCATACGTATTTCCCATTTTTTTTTTCTCTTTTCTCCTGTCACTTTTACCCCACTCTCTCTCTCTTCTCTCTGTTCGTTGCCATGTCGTGGTTCACCACCGAGCCGCTCGACCCACCTCCCCTCATGTCATGTCAAGGCCACCACCAACACCTTGCACTTAGCCCTCATCTCTCTCCGTCTAGTTGTCGTTAGACTCCGTCACTCTCCCCAGCTTTGGCCCTCACTACGGCGAAGGTTGTTGGACTCGGACGAACCAAATCAGAGGTCTCCTGAGGCAGGCAATGTCCAACCCCCGGAAATTTGCGCGGTGGCAAATCATTTTGGGTTTTGCTAGTATAATAGTTTTGGCCACTATGAAAGTAAAAACATATTATGAGCAATAAATTCTTGAAGGAATAGACCCCACAACAATTTATAATTATTTAATATTTATTTTTTTGTAATCTAGGATATGCTGTTAATCTCACAGTATATTAAAGACTATCTCTTGATCATTTCTCAATCATTTTTAGGTTGTTTTATCCACCTTGTCCTCCATGGATGAGAGCACTCACATGCCCTCTTGAAAAAGCCAAATTTTTATCACATAGAGTATTACGTTGGACCTGCCATAAATTTAGAGAAATTATAGCAGGTAAGAGCGTGCCACCATAATCTAAACAAATAATGCAGATTCATCATGAAAAATGAACTTGCTCATAAATTCATCCGTGTGAATACGATGTGTCACTGAAACTCATCCACGCACTATATTGAAAGAATCACAAATACATAAAGATCACATCATATATTAGTATGAATAAAGATTAATATAAATACCAAGAAAGAAAACATGAGGCGGTGGCCATAGAAAATCAGGAACCATGGCCTGAAGCATGCAAGTAAATTGCATAGATAAGCATGAAGAAAAAAATACCACTTATTGCATGGATATGCATGAAAAAACAAATTAATCCATGAACTCGATCTGAAATTGAAAACAAGAAAAAAAAAGAGGAAAAGAATTGGTCAATGAGAACATTCCTTTCTTTGCCTAACAAACAACGACTAAACACTAGATTTCCGCATGTAACATCTGTTAACACTTTAGATAAATCAAACGAGGCGTCTTGACTAATTATGGAAAAAGCTTAATATATAGAAAAAAAGAGTTCTTAAACGTGGGTGTACTTTTTTTTTGGGTCAAAAAACGCGGGTGTACTTGCATTCTTGAATCTATTGCAAATTTGTGTAAAATTAGATGAAAATTAGATGGGACATTACATTATAATGTAAATCATAGTAATGATATGAACTCATAAATAGAATCGTGCACGGTCGATTCGCGCAGTTCCAATCAAGATAACATATTCCAGATTGTCAGTAAATCAACTCATGGGGTAGAAAATTTCATGTGCATAGTATGAGCCTATCTACTAGTTTTGTCTAGATTGTATGGCAAGGCCTATACAAAACTTTTATATAAAGAGGGATCTCACGCAACATCTATCTTGTGAAGGATGGATTGGTATTACAGACTTGTGAAGTTATATTTCACTCACGAAGAGGATTGCTTGCAAGTTCAAACTTTCTAAGGCGGTCTTCGGTTGGACACTCGTGGCGGAAGTGTTAGCCCCCACGTCTTCCCTTTCGATGAAAGGCCTTGGTGAGGGAGTCTTCTTTTGGGCCCATCTTATCCAGAGAAGCTGCCCCCGTTTCCATCATTTTCTATTCTGATTTTTTGGAGTCATTGCGTGCTTAAATATTAGAGATTCGATCTCATCATCTAACAATAATACCTCGTTTCGTCATTAAACATCTTACATAAACAATGGACTAGCTAGTAGTCTTAAGAGATTTTTCTTTGTTATAATCCGAGGCACGAATATAGAAATCTAATTACTTGGAGGCCCGTGAAACACCCTGCAAACCTCATTAACAAGTTAAGGTTAAGCTTTCAGCTTGTGCAGGTGACCCAAATTCAGGATAGTTTGCATGCATTTACAGTACGTTTGTTTCACGGAAAATGTAACGTTTTTGGAAAATGTTTTCCGGAAAATCATTTTCTAGGAAAATAGTTAGTTTTCCTTTGTTTGGTGATATGTGATCGAAAACATTTTCTAGTGTTTGGATCTCATTTGAAAAATGTTTGGAAAATGATTTCAATTGCATGATTTTATCTCAAACAAATTTTTTTTTTCGATTTTTTAAATATTTTTATTTTTAAAAATAAGAAAAGAAAAGAAAGAAAAAAATAAAATATTAAAAAATTAAAGTGAAGCAATTCTGGAAAGTGTTTCACCTTCTTAGATTAGGAAATTCACTTTCCTAATTTTATACATGAATATTTTCCTTGATCGGAAAGTGTTTTCGGTTGACTAATCATTTTCCGTGAACCAAACGAGTAAAATTCCGGAAAACGGATTATCGGAAAACACTTTCCCTGAAACAAACGCACCCTTAGTGGGATTTAAACCGACAATCTCCAATTCTTGAGTTGGAAATCTTCCAATTCTTCAATCAATTGTGCCAACTTGAGAATTTGTTTTTTCGGAGGTTTAGGTAATACTTTGGTTCTTGCCAATTTTCACATGACGAATTTTGCTTGTTCCTGCCTAAACAGTCCACCGATTGCCTATTAACATCAAAATTTGAATTTTTTATACTTAATGTTATGAACATGCCGCGTGAATATAACAGTATCCTAACTTTGTATCGGTTCATAAAATTTGCATGACATTTACTATTCTACAACTATTTATGATTCGCGACCTCAAATGATTGGTGAGTGACCTAAAATAGGAGGTCCACTGAGGTCGCAACCTCCAGGTGCTTCACCACAGAGATTGCGGCCGCCTCTCATGGAGGAGCAATACTTGCATTATTGTGGTGCCAATGAACCCAATTAATCCTAACCGTTGGATCTTTGATATTCACGTGAAGCCCACATGATTGATCGAATTAGATCTACTGGGCTCATGTGCACCGGGATCAATTGATAGTTATGCCTGTCAAGGCCTCAAGCAACTTCTGAGGCCTTGACCTCTTTCCTATTTCGTGCTCTTGCGTAGAGAGATATATGAATATATAATTGTTCTCAATCCTAATCCCATATGCATTTCATGTGTCAGATCACAAGAGAGATGAATATCTAAATGTTCCTAATCCTAATCCCATATTCTTCCTCATGCGTCGTATCACGATAGGCGTCAATTTTGTTCACGTCTACATCACACTCTAGCAAATTTCACGTTGAAATCTACAAGATTTTTCCACGAATACAAAACCTCATTAATATATATTTGATGAGTGTTTCTAGTGAATCCAGAAACAGTTTCGCGAAAGATGAAAGTTTCTAAATATCATATCACCGCATGTATTTGATACAGACCGTAGTAAGTACTGCAAAAGACAAAGATATGAATTTTTTTTTACTTATCTATCATTTCAGGTTCTTTAGATGTTTAGTTGTCTATTAAAATATTATTCACGATACAACTTCATCGAACTCCAAAAATACAACACGGATTTACCACTAGTAAACCATTGTTTTGATTATAAAAGGTGGTGGGGGCACAAATGCATAATGTGGGTATGTCCCGGTCAACGATATTAATCCACAGATTGAATAAAACACGGGGCAAGAAATTTCGGTAAAACAAAAAAACTTATCATTACAATGTCTCTGTTGGCGCATGTCATTAAAAGGCTCCATCTTGATTTTCGTTTAGATCTCGGAATCACAGGAATGTAAAACTTTCAGAGGTTATTCATAGTCCCTAGAGAAGACAAAGATATAAGGGGAATTTATGAGAGCAGGGTCTGCGAGCATTGACACGTTAAAATAAGAAATGTATCCGTAGAGTCCGTTGTCACTGCAATGCAAACGAACATGTCATGGAGGCCTTTGTCGAAGTTTCGGCTCTCTGTTTTTTAGTGAGGTAACCTCTTAAATCATCCACCAAGGATCCAAGAGATGACCCTGATTAAGATTAAGACTTATCACAAGAATGTCGCCGTCAATAGAATCAACCGGAAGCATCTCCTTCTACCCCTACTTCTCTAATTTGCTTTTGTCTGGTATCTACTTGTCAAAGCCGAAGAAAAGAACATCTTCTAGTCACTTCTTCCTGCCACGCCACCAACTTGTCCTAAAATCGCCTCCCTAGCATGCCACGTCGCAGCCTTCTGTCCTAGTTAGCTCTCTCTGTGCCGGCGCTATATATGCCCCACCGCCACAGTGACAGGCGGTGCAAAGTTGGATCCTCAAAGAGAGAAGTGAGAGCTGGAGGAGAGAGATCATGAGTAGAGAGTGTTGGATTTTATTACGGCTCACGCGATTAATGGCCCGGCCTATATGTGATTTAAGTTTAATAATTATTATGTGCTAAATTCCTATTGGTTAACAGAAAGGCGTATTCTAATTACTATACACCCT